TTGCTAAAAGTCTTTGAAGCACAGTTATCATATCGTCTGGGAGTACAGGGAGTCCGCTGGAGTACGGGAGTCGCGCTTTTTCCCCCTTGGTTATTCCACAAGTACCAATTCTATTTTGTGGTACACTTCGATACAATCTTGATCCATTCGCACAGTATACTGATGAAGATTGTCTTAGAGCACTTGAAGCTGTCCAACTCAAACAATTGATGTGCAATCATCCTGATGGACTTCATCAATTAGTGGCGGAATTAGGTACTAATTTTAGTGCTGGAGAACGCCAACTCATCTGTGTGGCACGCGCCATTCTAAAGAAAAGCCGCATATTGCTTATTGATGAGGCCACAGCCAATGTTGATAATGTAACCGATAATATGATTCAAAGTGTGATAGCAGACAAGTTTCGTGATCGTACAATACTGACAATTGCACATCGATTGCATACAATAGCAAACTGTGATCGTATTCTTATGTTGCAACAAGGAGAAGTAGCTTATTTCGATGTACCAAGTAACATTGATCTAAGTTAGTGCGGTTGTATGAGTACTCTTAATTCCAAAGAATACGTATGATGGAGACGAATGTTGATAAAAATATATTTTTCATCCATTATATTCTTTTCTAAATGTGAGTAAAAGCTTCAATATTTTCATACCAAATCTTTAAAAATGTTCAAAAAAACGGATACCCTACAATTTATGGCTCAATCATTTATCATATAAATGAGCGCATTGAACTACACAAGAAGATTTTATTTTCGAATTTCGAAATTCAACTTTAAAGGATCCCATATCAATCAATAATGTCGAACAACTTAACCGTGATAAAAAAAAGGTTCTACACCTGGAGAACTTTTCTTGTTAGTTTGATGCAATAAATGATTCCGAAAGAAATAGTTCCAATTTCAACATTCATTTGATTTTTTTTGTCATCTGGAGTGTCATTTTATCTCTGTTTTGAAACATTCTGTTTTTTATGACCTGACTGTTCTTGTAATTCATTCATAATGATATTTTCTTTTTTTAGTTATCGTCCATTACACTTTTCTTTGTTTCGGTTAGCTCGTCTTGTTCTATATGGATCTTCCACTCTTCTAGATAAAGTATTGCGCTATTGCCGCATGAGAGATTGGATATACAGCACAGTTATAGAAATCAAGTAATTATGGAACTAAGATCTGATACTGTTGTTTTCGCCTGCGTGAACACCTTCCATTTTCCATGCGATCAGATAATATAAACGATCTATTGAATTGAACAGCTAGTGTAACCTACGGCCTCTTATTGGCATACGCTTAGTACCGTCACGACGATCACCTACCAAAGTTTAAATTGAGGTGTGGGTGTTGTGTCCTTTTCTTCCTCATTTACACCCATTTTAAAAATTCCTACATTAAAGTCCCCAGTCCTAAATTTTAGTTCCTATTTGATCATCATAATTGATCTTAATTGTTTGATAGTCCAAAAAGGTGAACCTAATTTAGGGACATGCTCAGTACACTAAAATTTGTGGGAAATGATAGCCATTCATACCACCAACCAAACTTATTGATGGAACTCGCAACAATCGTTACTTCAACAGAGAGTTAGTACGTCGACTCCCATATATTAGGAGCACAAAATCACTACCATTACCACTGAACTCAAAAACAACTATCTCACAAAACACGAATTAATGCCAAATTAACTGCACAGCGAAGAATATCTTCTTTTCTGTTTTAACGAACTAAATATTTCCGTTGCATATAATACACACATCCGAACACTTACTCTCGATTATCTTCCGACTTGAGCACCTGTGAAATTTTGAATTTCTAAAAACTTCTTATTCAAATAAACACTAATACTGCGCCAACTATAAATAAACACTAACAATATGCTGCACCATATCCAACCAGCAACTCTCGAACATTCCTAATCTGAATCTCTTCTTCTATGTTTCAGATAGAATTCATAGAAACAAGTCTTGTAAAGTCATTTCTATCTGACGATACCCTTAAGCAAAGTCGAAATCTGAATCATGGGTGCTTGCCTCACTCCACACACCCTCATTCTCCTATGAAAATTTTCGGATTGAACGAGAGTGGGAAAAAGAACAAGAATAGAACGAACAGAAGGAAAAAGACAATGAGTCCCTCTAGCCTCAATAATTATTCGATAAGCGCCGCTTATTACAATTTTTGTGTTAAAATTTGTTTCTTCATTGTTAAATTCGATAAAATTAAATTAAAAATCATCTTTAAATTCATTTGAAACAAGTTTCCTCTCGTTCATTTACTCACTATAGCCATTGTCTGAACAACAAAACTCCAAATAATCTTTTTATGACTCCACAAACAAGCACACTTTTTTCTTATTCTTAAAAGGAGATATATTTTCTCGCTCATTTCTTAAACCTAAAAACAAGCTCATTTTATTTTATTTTAAAAAGATTATTTTGTGGAACTCACATATATTTTCGAAGAAAATGATGAGTGTAAGTTTAAAAGCGAGATTTTTGCGGCTCCCCCTCCCCATTACAGACATTAATGAGTTTAAAACCGTGCTAACTAGGAGCTTGACTAATCAGGCTGCTACTTCTTCCTTTTTTAATTACAGGTTACACGAAGAAAGTAATGCTCATCCATTACAGACCATAGAAACCAGTCTCTACCGTTGTTAAATATACGAGCTAACAATTAATATTCCATTACAGACATAAGCAAATAGGCAATGACCTAATTATAGGCTTTGGAAATCAAGGTAGATTTTTCAGATGGACTATTTTGAACTATTTCAGTAAGTCTAATGCATATATGTGAGTTCCACATTTTAGCCCCAACGGGGCTGCGCTAACAAGCTTTTTTCTAGTTATTCCACACCCTCAAACCCACACACTTTTCAGTTGTTGCTACAAACATCACATTTGTTTTGATTCCGCATATTTTTTTTCGGAAATTCCTTCACTTATCTCGTACAGAGAATGCTGTTGTCCTTCTTGCTGCAAAACGAAGCCAAGACGAACGTGATCCGTTTTAAAACGTAATAAAAAAACACGAGGCATGATCTATGCAAACGATAAGAGTAAAAAATGAAAGAAAAAAACATTTTCTAATTGTAACGAGAGAGAACGCACTTTAAAAAAAATGAATAATGATTCAAACAAGAATTTTGAACAAAGCAATTCGATAGCAGCTGATCGTGCACAAGGTAGTTTTGACGAAGATCTCGTTACATGGGGTTTGCGTGTGAGTTTGAGCGTGCTCCTATACTTGAGTAACTGCAACCGAAAAATAACACTCATTCTCCCAGACCCAGATTCACATCCAGTCGGAGAGGTACAATAGAATGAATGAAAGAGATGTAAAAGAGAAAGCAGAATTGAACGAATGATATTGTTGACCGACAGTGGTCGAGCTCTATTGCTTGATATGTGAAAAAAATATCATTTAGATACGATTTTCGTGATCTAAAATCAAAGTGTTATTCTCTTTTTCAAAGTATGACGCATACAATTTTGTTTTTGTAGCATCGTGCAAACTAAAGTGTATTTCGAAAACAGCAGGCGTTTCGAACATTTTGTTTTTGCTTTGTACGCCTGTTGTTAGAAGCACTGCTCCTCATTATGGTAAATCATTTTATGTTTCAAATAAAAGGTGCTATATATGTTTTTATTTTATGTATACATTTTTATATGTTATTTTTTAGGTTTTTACATTATTTTTCCTTCGTTTAACTTAATCTTGTTTTCAAATTGTCAAGTACAACACAGGTAAAAAATAAATTTTCTTATAATTGCCCCTTTCTCTGTTACTGCTTGGATCTGAAATTGTTGGGGCGTTTCTTGACTAAATCAACAAGAAAAAGAAAGTGCTACTAAAGGTAATGCGTTTTATTAATCTTTCTTTATTATTTTTTGTATTTTAGAATAGCAATCACTATTCGTATTGAAGCACCTGATCATGAACCGCTATAAGCACTCGAAAAACTTGCTACTGAATCATGTGATCACTTTTATTAACCATTTAAATTATTGTACCATGTTCGTCTCTTAATTTTGTCATTATTTAGTTTAGGGAACGATTGATGCCTATCCAATCATACAAATACAAACAGCTACAAATATCAAAAATGACACCTTTGCCATTGAATACAACACAATTATTACGACGAATTTACAAGCTGAAAACTTTGTTGTTTTAATTGGGTCGTAGAAAATACTCAATATAGTAGTATATCTAGCATAATTACGAGCAACATCAGACATCCCTAATGGTTTATCATTTACAAAATGGTCATTTTCGTTGTCATTAGCCACACAATGGCTTGTAAAATAAATATAAATTGAAGAATCATGCACTTTGATGATACATTACCATGTGAGTAATGCTATGTCATGTAAAAAATCTTGAGGGTGTGGGTATGTGTACCAGTCCTTCTTCTTCTCACTCTCATACATCACATCGAGACTTCTCGGAAACCAATTTATTATAGCACTAGCGGAAAGAAAACTTTCTATTCGTATAATCCTTTTCAGGAGACTTTTTTCTATTTCAAAAATTTTATTTATTGAAAAGCATTCGAGAGAGCGGTAGATATAAATGATTAGTAATTCACACAAGAAGAAGCAGAACGACAAAAGCAGAGAATACGTCGCTTTCCGCTTTCTGAGATCATTTTGTTTTTCACAATGGCGCCGTTCATATGCAAATTTGAGTTTTCTCATCGTAGCACTGGTTACCACATAAAGCCTGCCTATTGTTGCATAAAACACCATTCAGACAGTACTTGGCATTTGAATCATAGCATTGATTGCCACAGAGAGAATAAAACCTGTTGCATACAGTACCATTCACACAGTACTTGATTTGTGAATCGTAGCACTGATTAACACATAAAGCCTGACTATTGTTGCATACAACACCATTCAGACAGTACTTGGTATTTGAATCATAGCATTGATTGCCACAAAGAGAATCAAACCTGTTGCAGATGGTACTGCTATGGCTCAGAGAGATCCATATGATCGAGAGAAGAAAAATAAAAAGCATAATGCTCGTTTGTGATATCAATAGTTTCTGCTTCGAATAGCTATGACATACCTCAGATCAACATAGTATTTAAATGTGTTTAGACAAATAAACATGAAAGTGAGCCCGTTTCTCCGAGGAAGTATATTTTTGCTCGACTGGATATCTCACCCTCCTGTACTTTATCGGGAATTAAGAAGAAAGGACGTACTTACCTGTGTTTATGGATTACACTCAAGTAAATACAATGATTATTAAGATAGATAGATTTATTACCCTTACCTTTCGGTGTGGGGTGAGGATCAAAAAAGGGTACAATAAAGATATTACAAAAAAGAGAATATATATACACAAGAGAAAAAAAATTTACAAAAAAAAGAGGTAAAAGTTCTTTTAGCTGGTTTCCAGTTCGTTCGCCATTGACTACCAATACTTGCGCCTGTTGTCCGGATGCAACCTCCAAACCGCAAGGGAGAGGTTTCGGTTTCACCCATCATATTGCACGAAGTATTTGCACCCACC